ATACAGATATAGCTATTAATATGTTTGCAAACCTCAAAATATTACAATTCTAACAGTAGATTTAAGAGAACACTGCACAAAAAAGAACTTGGAAAGTCCTATTGGTTCTGCTGCCATTATATTGCATATGACAAATAGCAATCCGATATTATTGTAAGAATAAATGCCTGTGATTATCTAGTCTATTATCACATTAGTTCTCTGAGTCTTGGACTTGAAATAATCCTCTGAGGAGACAGAAGTGCTGGTGTCTTTTGTTAATGTGCAAGGCGCTGACACCCAGGAGGAGGGGTGCTCCTGGAATGGAATGGGCATGGCCAGATTTGCTAAATGTCTGCACAGCAGGGCTGAAAACCATTGCAAGTAGAAGACTCAAAGAGTTAAGGTGATTAAAACACGTACACAAAATACTGCTCCACACTTCCAACGTGTTGGGCATCATCTAAGCACAGGAGATCCAGAGAGAAAGAAGGGCGAGTCCTACCACAGTCAGGTGGGCAGGCTACATGCCACAGCAGGGCAGATGTGCGCCTCGATAACTCCAACCAGATGCTGGAGAGGCACGGAGGTGTGTAAGGAAGGAAGGAACGTGGATCATTCAGCAACAGCAAGAGGAGAGAAGGAAAGATGGAAATGAGGTAAGATGAGCTGAGTTAATGAGGACCTTTGAGGTCCAGAGCTCAGGCAGTAATTACACAGAAGGAAAAGAGGAGACAGATTCAGCAGCGATGCAGAGAAGCAGAGTCAGAACTACCTGAGATCAACTCAGGGCTGAGAGCGTAAGGGAGACCCTTCAAGTTTCTGTCTTGGGTGACGGGGCTGGGGGTGGTGTTAACTCTCATGACTATAGGCAATATAGGAAAAAAAGAAGTTTGGGGTGAGGGAGTGGGCTGGAGGTGATGAATTTCAGTTTGACGAATGGATATGTTGAGTCTGAGCTGCTGTTAGGGACAGGTGCCCAGGGAGGTTAGAAATCAAACCTGAAACTCACATGAGAGCTGCCCTAGATGGCGCTCTCCAACTTTTCCATTCAAGATGGATGGTACAAAATGCACGGTAGATGCTTAGCTGTAAGATTCCAGGAAAAAAATAATATTGCTTTATTTTATCATAGTTATTTTTAATCTTGAAAGTTGAGGAACCAGGTAAGAGAGACAATTCCAGTGCAGGAAGAAAAAAGAAGCAGAGAAAGCTGATCACAACCTGAAAATAATCTAAAACAGGATCTTAGGTCAGGACACGTAATACTTAGGGTTTACTATGATGTGCAGAATTAACAACAAAAATTAGTTCAAGCTTAAAGGATAACTGTTCATGGAAGGAAGGAGGATGGAAGGAAAATACGAAGAAAAGGGGAGAAGGAATGAAGGAAGCAAGGAAATAAAGAGGGAAAACAAGCAGAAAGAAATGGTTTATTGGAGTCAAGGCCAAGGTCAAGGAGGAAGTGATTTATTAAAAAACATGGTTCTATCAAGTAACCAAATCTTCTCCATGATCTGACACCAGAAAAATCTTCTGATCTTCCCCGTCAGGTGATTATCTCTCATGTGTATGTGTATACACACACACACACACACACACATATTAAAAAAACAACAGTCCTTCTCAATCTCTTCCACACAGTTCCTGAACTGAGACACAGGCGAGAAGTGAAGAGTTCCTATGTCCACGGAACTGGTAAAGAATGTTACCCGTGTGGGTGGAAAGCATGGAATGAATAGGTAGTCGTGGAAAATGATATTTCTGTAACTCCTACAGAAGAAAAAGAATGAGGAAAAGAAAACTGAAAAAATAAGTAAATAAACAGATAAATGACCTCGGTGCCATAGAAAGTTCCTATCAAGAGAACCGGACTCCTGTTTCCTTTGATGTACTTAATTCAAATGAACATTTATATCTTGAGCACAATCAATCACATATAAGGAATTACAGAAGGTACTAGAATTGTAAGGGCTGGAGAAAGGAGCTTGAGTTTTTTAGGGGAAGAGAAGGATCGATCCCCAGCATGAGTGGGCCTGGGCTATTCTGGAGAAGGGGCAGAGCTCTGGTGGGCAGCCCAATCACCTTCCACCTCCTTGTTGTGTCCTTCGGCACGTTGGTCAATCAAACATGACACGTTAAGAATGACAAAGGAGTGTGTGATGGCCAGTGGCCCCTCCTCATGTCTGGCTTCCCTTCCATTAGCCACTCACATTTTCCCCCAAACTATACAGAAGGGAACCTGCAAGTTCATGAGGTATCAAGCAACATGGGCCCCCTTAGCCAGGGTCCAGAAACCCACGAAGAAATCTTGCATTGCATGGTTCAAATGCTACCCAGAGTAAGAAAAAGTTAAATGGTGTCTAAAGCACTGAGTGGCCAGCACACTTAGGGCTATTATAGGAGAAAACAGTCAATATTCTAAGAACGAAGCCGGGAGAAGTGGAAATGTCATGGGTTTTTATCGCATACTTGTCAGGCTTATTATAGGGTGGTATATTCGATGTAAAAGCTGCCTATCGATTACAAAATTATATGCAAAAAATTTTAAGGATTTGTATACACTAGCTTAAGAGGTATAGAATTCACATAGTAGATAGTGCCAGAGAGCCCTCTGGCACTGTCTAAAAGAATATCGTTAATTTGTACAGTGTCCTTCCATTTCTGGAGCCATTCCAGCACTGGCTTTCTATAAAAATCATTTCAAGTTTAGAATCATGCTATTTGCCTGCAGCAACATCACAGGAGCAGTAGTGTGCCATATGCTACTACTTAGCAACTTAGTCTGTTGAGTCCCAAAGCATGTACTGATTTGACAATTGAACAGGAATTAAAATTGTTGAGAGATACTAAGAGGCAAGTTGTCTTGGATTACTGAACTATGCAGATGTTTGATGTTATGTAGGAAAAAAAACAAAGCTATTTTTTTTCCTGAAGGATGACTAAAATCTTATTTATAGTTGCCGAAAGGGGTAAATTGATTAAAATTCCCAAAAGAAGACCAGGTAATGAATTCTTGAATATACCACATTACAGTAAACAAAAGGAATGTCAAGTGTAAAATTTAGCTAAGGCCATTCAACTTACGTAATTTGTGAAGCTTATTCTCTGCCAGAGTGTGTATTATTTTACATTAGCTGAATTTTTGAAATAGCACATTCTAAAAACATATTCATATGTGCTGCATTATTAAAAAATAGTTTGCTTCAGGCACACAAACCTGCTACATCTTTACAAAGCACATAAAGTATCTGGAGCTCTTTACTCCTTCATAAATTATCACTGGTATTTGAAACATTCTTGGTAAATCTTGACTGAAATATTAAGAAAAATAATGTTAGTTGTTTGATTTTAGTCAGGGTTTAATATTATTCATTGTACTTGAATTTAAAAATCTAAGTTGTTATAATGTATACGCTTTGAATTTCCAATCCTTTATCCAAAAGTCTTTAAGATGGACATAATGATTCTCTGAAAGGGAGCAGCTGCTTTATAACAGCAATCATTTATTGAGTTTGTGTTTCTACTGTTTCAAACAAATTCAATTAGCCCTTACACTTCAAAACCCTAAAGGCAACAAAGAGATGATACCAGGTTGCTTTAATCTAATAGTAATACTAAACTTGTCAGTACAGTTTTGGGATTGATGGTTGGAAGAAAATTAATAGTAACATTTTTCATTTTTTAATCAAACAGTCCTACTCAGAACTACCTATGGATCCTGCCGGCTACTTAGCTGAATGAATTCAGTTAAGTAAAAATTCTAAATGCAAAGCCCAGCCTTCCAAAGTCATTCTGAGAGTGATCGACTCAGTTGAGTGGAAGGAAATGTAGTCCGGATCTTTGAACTTAATGATGACCTTCTCATCTGAACAATATAGTATAGTTTCCAGAATGTCTGCCAGAGAAGGCAGTGATCATAATGACTTCTAAATGCAAAGTTCACGGAGAGGCAGGCCTGCCTCTGTTTTGAGTTAAGCCCGAGACATTCTGTTCTTAGAGAAATTTCAAAGCCCCATAAAGTGCACCCCTGACACATACATTAGATTTAATTCACTGACAAGCACCATGAAGAAAAATAGTTCTATTTTTGCTCCCTATTCCCCCACCCTTCCCAGTTATCACATCTATTTGGGCGGATATGAAAACAACTGTTTTCAATGTTTGAGTTTATGCTATAGTTACTGACACATGAAACTCCAAGCTACCATGGTTTTACTCTTCCAGAAAAAAGTATGTTCAAGTCCACACAATGCTCCTGTGAACTCTCCCTCACTTTCATTTATTCATTTATTTGTTTTTGCTTACAAGCTTCTTACATATCATATTATAGTGGCCCCCTAGGGCAGTTGCCACTTTGCTTCAAATGCCCTCTGTGGATCAAGGGGCCTGGTCTTAAGTATCTAAAAATAAACAGCCAAGCCTTCACTTCTATAAATGTAACCATTTACATTTTCATTGGACTTTTGTTGTCACTTCTCATGATTAAATACCTTGTCAACCATTCCCAGTGAAATGGATACAAACGTGCCCTTCAAAGGTTTCCCATCATATCGCGGATTTTGGCTTGAAAACAGCCATAGAGCACTTTCTGGCCCTGCGATTCTGGTGATCAATGTAACATTTTATTGAAAACTGCCCCAATAATTGATAATTAAAGCTATTTGTGACATGTGTAGCTTATAATGATTAACTCATCTATAGTCAGAAGCTCAAATAACCTGCACCTGTAAAGACTTTATTTCCTAAAGGTAAAACAACTGTTTAGGAAAGATCATGCTGGCAAAACAGCTGCTTGCCGTTCTGGAGAGGAAACAAGGTATTATCTTTCAACAAATGCCAACTCTGGTGTTTTATCAGCTCGATCTCATTAACTGAAAACAAGGCTTGAATGCTTTGTTTATAAATTATGATTATTCCTGATTGCGGCAGTTACTAAGAGTGCTACTCATTTGCAATGCAACTCTTTGAATTTGTTTAATTACAATTTGAAACAAGGCAGAGAAGATTAATTAACCCACCTGGCTGGCTGGCACATAGTCCTGGCTCGGCTCTGTCATGCTCATATACATGTTCTCACCGTCAAACTGCGAATGAAATAATAGTAAACATTCAGCAATCTTGACTGTGTGCATGTTTGTTTTGTTTTGTTTTGTTTTTTTCCACCATCAAACTAGAAAACAGTAGCCATAAAAAAAAAAATACTGTGGTTGGGAATACGGAAAATCTGTCACAGCAAGAGAGCCACATCTATTCTTTGATGTTTCTGTTGTCATTTTCCTGACCCTGGATGTCAGTGATTTGGAGTAATTAGTGCTCTAGTATTACAGCAAGCAAGAGAGAAATGAATGGTTTCCTTTCATCTGCAATCTGTTTTAAAACAAAATGGCTCGTTTTGCGTACCACGTATATACATATTGCAGTTCGGCTGTAATGAAGTATTAAGTGGATGGCATGATTTCTGAAAGAAAAGGATAATGGAAAATATACTGAGGCACAGCTCAATGCATTCTGAGTTTGGCTCTCAAAAATGAAAAACTGCAGAGTTTTCATAATAGACTGAAATTGGCTTCATCACAATAGCCTTATGATTAAAGAATTTTATAATAATATTTGAAAAGAGCACGTGCCACTACAAGCATGGCTAAGAATGATAATAATAATGGATAACAATAAAAATATACAGGCTCGATGATTAAATTTTCCTCTCCGAAGTTTTTCAAAGGCACAGAATTAATGTAAGTATTACAAACACATAGAAGTCCATATAGGAATTTAAAAACTAGGAACAAGATGGGAGGAGAAAATTCCTGGGGGCATTTCGAGTGCAGAGCTGTGGAAGAGTTCAAACAACAACAACAACAGCATACTTTTCATTATTCGGGTTTCTGAAAGCAGTAATCACTCCATTCAAACTTAATCCTCAGCTATCTTTAGTCACTAGATAAACGGGCAAAGCATTTCCCTTTTAGTTAAAAGAAGAATTTTCCCAAGGAAATAATCAAATGGACTAATACAGCCAGCTTCAAAGAGCTGAGTCTGAATGTACTTTCACTGCAGACTAGTTTCAGACACGGGAACTTGAAAATCTGAGAAGTTATTTTTCAAGACACAACAGTGTTCCTGATGGAGATGCACGCGCACAGTTCTGTGGATGTACTTTTACGCCACCGGAAAACTGTGTTACAGAGGCCCCGCGAACACTGGGGACACACCACAGCTTCGGAACTGGCTCTGAACTACAGTCAGCAGCAGTCAGTGCCCTGAAGAGTCGCGTAAATGTGAGCTGCACAAGTAAAGACCTCCCTAAGGACACTGAAGCACTCATCAAGTTCAAAGAACCAAAGGATTTCCTCACACATCATCCTGCAAATGTATTTCATGTTTTGTGAACAGACTTACCTAAACAGATCTGAAGTCACTCACTGAAAGATGTGGTTGTTCGGACAGATCAGAAATAGCACACCCAGAAAAGAACAGCTGGACAGTTTGGTTGCTCTGTCATCTGGCATAGGAGCCCTGAGTCCGAGTGACTTACCCAAGGTTGGTTTTCCATCAGTCAGGTGAATGCCTTCAACCCAAAGATAGTCTAGCCCCAATCGATCTGCCTGTTACTCCTACCGGCTCAAAACCTAACAAAGAGCATCATTTAGCATTTCTCCACCGCCACCCACTGTTGGTTTGTTTATAAATGTTTTTAATGTTAAGATGCCAAAGAACCATTTAAAATATGGACAGTTTCTCTGACTGTGGCAAACTAAACGGAAGTAGTGAAGTGAATCAAATACTCCACTGCCTGTTATGCATATTCTATACATGTGTTACTTTCTATTTCATCTTCTCTTACTCATTTTCTAAATCTGGTGTCATTCTCAAGCCAACTAAATCTTTGAAGTTTTGGTTTTCGTCTATCCAAAGCGTATGCTAATTGAATACATGCAATGTTACTGCTCCTAAGGACTCTTTCCTCAAAAAGTATCAGCGCTTAAGTAATATTGAGCCAAGGCTGAAACAGCATTTTAAATAAAAGATATGTGGCTACAGGAAAAACTATTTTCTTGAGTACATTCTATGTGCCTGTAACCTACCTGTATCTTTACATGTATTAACTGATTTAATTTTCACAACAACAAGGAGTTAAAGTATTATTATTACCTACAAAGGCACAGAGAATCAAGGCTAGAGGCTCAAAATTACACAGCTACTAAAAGGCAGGGCTGGGATTCAAACCCAGGAAGCCTGACTTTCTAGCACATGCGTGTAACCCCCATAACAAATATAAATATATTCTGAATCATAATGATGAGTTAGCCATCAACTCTGAAAATGTCAATATATTATCAAAGCAGAGTGATGACAGTATCTCAATGACGTTGAGATACTGTACAGAATTTCTATGGTATTGTGAGGCTTTCAAAAAGAACCAAGAGTCCCAGTGAGCTGGCAATTTAGTAATCAGGCTGGCAGAATATTCCTGGATGCTTTATAATTAAGCCTTAAAACACAGGGAGGCGGTTTGACAGTTAATTTTTTGTTTGTTTGTTTGTTTGTTTTGCAGTACGTGGGCCTCTCACTGTTGTGGCCTCTCCTGTTGCGGAGCACAGGCTCCGGACGCGCAGGCTCAGCGGCCATGGCTCACGGGCCCAGCCGCTCCACGGCATGTGGGATCTTCCCGGACCGGGGCACGAACCCGTGTCCCCTGCGTCGGCAGGCGGACTCTCAACCACTGCGCCACCAGGGAAGTCCTGACAGTTAATTTTATGTGTCAATTTAGCTGGGCCACAGGTGTCCAGATATTTGGAAAAATATTCTGGGTGTGTCTGTGAGGGTGTTTTTGGACAAAACTAACATTCAAATTGGTAAAATGAATAAAGCAGATTGCCCTCCCTACTGTGGATGGGCCTCATCCGATCAGTTGAAGGTCTGAATAGAACAAAAAGGCTGACTTTCCTGAGGGTAAAAGGGAACTCCTCCTACCTGACTGCTTGACCTGGGACACCAGTCTTCCTGCCTTCAGACTCCAACTGAAACATCAGCTCTTCTTGGGTCTCAAGCCTGCCAGCTTTTGGACAGGAACTATACCATTTGTTATTGTTTGAATATTGTTTTTTATGAAGAAAAAACAAACAACTCCTGGGTCTCCAGCTTCCCAAGTACAGATCTTGGGACTTCTCAGCCTCTATAATCACATGAGCCAATTCCTATAATAAATCCTCCCCTCTCTCCACCCTGCTCCTTCTCCCCATGCCTCTGTCTATATATCAGTATATCTCTGTCTATATATATATCTGTTGGTTCCATTTCTCTGGTGAACTCTATACAGGTGGCTTTTTCTATTACTATCAAGATATTCACAACTGCTCTGAAAGTTTATCTCTGGAGGACCTGAAATGTGGAGACACATAAAGAGATGACCTCTATCTTACACTACTGCCTGCTTTCTAGGGGAGCAGAAGCCACAGTGATTTTGCTGTGAGAGTCTCTGGCCTCACCATGCCCACTTCCTGTGCCCCGGTGCATGTCACATACATCTGCACCTCTTTGTCCAGACTGCCTTCCTTCCCTTTTACTTGTTAAAATGTTTCTTACACCCCTCAGTTCCCTTTAGTCAGGGCTGTCTCTAGCCTCTGGGTTCCCTGTGGTAGCTTTCTGGTTCCAGGCAGGTTTTGTTGCTAGGGGACTAACTCCATGGGGCTGTGAGCTACAAGACAGTACACATCTTGGTTATCTTTAGTGTCTTAGGGCTGGCATATAAGAAGTACTCAGGCAATGTCTAATTAACAAAAATTAAACTATATTTGCTTGGTTAAATAGATCATCTTCCTAGAGAAGGCAATGACTTCAGAGGAGGAAGAATATTCAGCTTTTAGAGAATGGTTTGAAGGCTTCTGAAAGGGGAAAATTCATAGTCTTACAGTGGATTAAAACTGGAGCAGAATTAAAATAGGAGCAGAAGCTCTTAAGAAGAAAAAAAAAAAGTACAGAAATAACAAGGACACCAATACTTAAATGCTGGAACCTGTCCTTCCTCAAGATTTTTATTCAATTAAAAAACATGTAGATTGACCAAGAATCAAGAGATCTGGCTATAAATTAACTTATGGCCTCTTTTTGAAGAATTTTGAGTTGCCAAACAAAGATATATGTACGTCAGAACAAGCCTGGTCATTCCCCCTGTGTTTGGACAAAGTCTTGAGCCCGGGGAGAAAAATAAGCCAAGATCCCAGTGCCCCAGCCCCACGCTCTCAATCACAGACTGCTTTCAGGTTAATGTCATCCTTGTACTTTTTACAGCTCCACCTAACCACACCCTGGTCCAGGAGCTGGTTCCAGGGATCTCAACAGGCCGTGTGCTGACGCAACGTTCTTAGAATGCATCCTGTGGCTTGGGTTTATGTCTCGTTGCCATCTGAAGTTGAATTACAGTGCACAGAGTCCTAGAATTTCGGTCTTGGGAAGGTCCCTGAAGGCATCATATCTGAACCCCTCATGTTATGACTGAAGAAACAGACTTTTTACTGGTCATGCAGGACATCTGGGTGTAGAATCAAGGTCTAGATTCCTAGTAGAAGAGTTTTCCACTATGACACTGCATCACCCATATACTCCATCACCCATAAGAAGTGAGGGAGCAGACTCTACGGCTACTGTTTTATACTCCATCGCAAATAGTAAGTGGGGGGTCAGATCTCCGATGGTCTGTGTGTGGCTTGTTTGCATACCCCACAGTCTGGAAGGCACAGTATTTGCGTTATTACACTAATGACCCCAGTTCACTTCATCTGGACCACATATTAGATGAACCTTATTCATAATCGTTGTAATAACATGATTTTATTAAAAATAACTAACTTCATTTCCTTACTCCTTACGTTTGTCACAGTTATTCTTAGAAGTCAGCTAAATTTAGGCATTATAACTTTTCAAAATATATCTAAGCATCCTAGGACTTAAAATTTCCATGTATTCTCAATGTAAAACCTGAAGCAAAGTTTGAAGGAATAAATAGGCTGGCTTATTTAAATCTAAATGTAAATGGCATCAACTCAGGATTAGCCTTTCTGACCAAGTGCGTTATACTCTTTCT